TATCCGGGTTTGGTCTATTTTATATACATTAAAACACAGGCTCTAATTTGGGACCAGAGAAAATCTCTCTTATATCCGGGTTTCTCTTATATCCGGGTTACACTGTATTAGTCTTTTCATGGATCCAAAGAAAGCTAGCAGTGATACAGGTAAAGGAAAAAGAAAAGTTAAGAGAAAAACAATTGTTGGTGATATTATTATCTCTTCCTATTCATTTTCATATGGCAAATGCAGCCATCTATACTATTCTTAAAAATGATATGATACTTACCTGGCATAGGGATCCGTCCCTGTGCTGGTGGTATCACGGCTACGACTAGCTTAGACAAGCTATGACCAGCTTGGACCAGCTGCCCGAGTGAAAACACTCGGGTCCCCACGTTAAAAACTAACCATGTCACAATCTGAATCAGTGGGGGAAGGGTCAAGTAAATCTCTACCATTCTTATAAAAATAGAGACGATTAGGTCTTCCCACTCCCCTTTCCAAATGATATTTCTTCCCATTCCACTTACGACCTCAACTTTCCTCTTTAAAGCTACGGTGAAATTAAAATGTTCGTTTATCTGTTTAGTATTGGGTTTATTTATTTTTTTCTTAGATTTAATGATTTTCATTAGTTTTATGTATAAACTAACTTATGCACAAAGTACTTTTGTAAAAGTTTAAATAAGCAATAGTCTTGGGACCAGGAACGGATTAATCCATTTTACAGTGATTCCTAATGGAAAAATAGTTTCAGTTAACGAACATTTCGGGTTACGAACGGACTTCAGGAACAAATTAAATTCATGAACCAAGGTTCCAGTCTATTAACAAATTTATTGCTGTTAAAGAAAATACATAGACAAAATATGGTGGCATTCACCAGGAAAAAAACCTCTTCTTATTCATGCAGAATGTGAGAAGAGAGTTGTCCTGAAAAGGACAGTTTATTGCATATTTTTGCTGGTGGTGAAGGCTAGCTGGAGATGCTACTGGTGAGAGAAGGTTGGAACAGATACTACACTTTGATCACAGGCATCTTGGTAGAGTATGGCATCCTTTTGTGACTTTGTCTATTTTTAAGGGTTTTTTATGCTGAATCTGCTACACAACCATGGCCGGTACTTTTTGAGTGAAGTTTCTTCCATTTGTTTTGAATTATTATCTTCATCTTTGAGTTTTTTGGGTTTTCATTTTTTTTTTGCACTGTTTCAAACAATATATTTTTCAGCCTCTGGAGTGAAATGTTGAAGTTCTAAGATAAAAAAAAATTATCTCACCATTTTATTGATAAAAATATGAAAAAAGTATTACAAAATGAAAATTGATGAATTTAAAGGAACTGATAAAAGATTATGAGAATCAAATAACTTAATAATCAATTAATAATAATTTAGTTTGTTATTGTGGTGTCAATTTTTGGAAAGGATTCAAAGAAATACACAGACATTTTGCTATTTTGTTTGAGTTTGTCAAAGACAGAACCAAAGTAACTCTAGAATTGACAGGATAACATATTGTATTTGTCCACAGTTACATTCCAAATTGTTGTGTTGCTTATGTCCAATGTTTGTCCAATGGCTTTGATCAATTTTCCTTCTTTTCTCAGCTTCAAAAGACAGTTCTCTCATCTTCATGTCTTATTCTTTTTAACAAGAAATACAGTCTTTACAGGTGAAAGCCAAGGCTAAAAAAACAAGAGTAGTTATTCAGAGCTATTTAATGTTTAAACAATCAATCTAAAAGGCAATACCTGGGCAACAAGAATCATCTGTCATTCATATGTTCCAATAGTTTTGCTCACTTAAAGAATGACTAGGTTCAAACAAAAGGTGGTATGTCCTAAGTTGTTTAACACATCTAAATGTAAATACCAAGACATAAAAGCTGAAATTCTGAGCTCTTGTCTCATATTCATCTTTTGATCTTAAACCCAAATGTCTTCAGTGAACAACAAATACATCTGGAGTGGACAGTATATAATTTCTTGTTTGTTTATCAAATTCTGATTAGGTATGAATCCACCTCTTCTCCCTATGGGTTAATTAGTAGAACTTTTATGACTAAAATTATTTTTATCTGAAAAAAAATTCTTATAATCTGAAAATATTTTCTGGCTTTAAATAACCTTCAAATGCTTCATAAGCAAAGAAAGTAAATCAATCAAAACTTTTGATAAGCTGTAGAAAATGAATGAATCAATCAGAACATCTGGTCAGATTGGAAAGGTTGAAAAATGTTTCAATTGAAATATAGTGATCAAAACAACAAAATGAAAACAATACACAGTGCCCAGGAAAAAAGTGGCAAATTAATTATCATTGTTTTATCTTTCAGGAATAATTGACCTTGAATAATCATTTAATTCTTGTGTAATTACTTAACTCTTATTGGTTCTTTTATGATTGATTAATTGCTGCTCAATCTCATGACTCGTCATTTAAAGGTTATTTACAGATAACTTTCATCTTTCGTTCTGCCCTTCTTGTATGGCTCACTGATTTTGAGTGTCAAGTTATCATATTTTTCAAAGAAGAACATCTGATGTGGGGATTGATGAAATGTGCAGAAATTCTTCCTTAATTTTTCAGTTACATCAATCGTCTCCATTTTTCAACAGTTGACTTGCATCTTTCTGAATTTTACCACTTTTTACTGGGCACCCTGTAGTTTAAATAACATCAAGATTAAAACTGATATCATGTGACTAATTTGTAAATTTATTAATTGATACTTTGTATGACTGATATTAGACTTGGTAACATCTTGTGAGATAACCGAGACATGTACAATGTTTACTGCTTGTTTTTAAGACTTCGTTTGAATTTTGCTTCTCCCTCAGATATTGGTTCCTGTTTTATCAATCTGCATGAGCTAAAAAGACAGATAACATTTTCAAAGAGAGAGAAATTTATTTCAGGAATGGCGCCACATTTCAGATAACCATTTCATGGTTTGTCTCAAAGAAACTTAGCCTTAGAAAAAAAAAATCTATACCTTATCCTGTTAGTTTGTATGTCTATTATACTTTTTAACCTAGGATCAGAGTGTAGTATCTGCTTGATCTACAGCATTTCTAATTATTTTATCTGTATATATAGGATCATTATTGCTTTCTACCTAGTAGTACCTGTCTCATCTACAGAATTTCCGATTTAGACTATTAATTGATTGGTTTGTATGCATAGCCATTATATTTTCTTATCTCGGATCAGTGTGTACTGATATTGCTTGTAAATACTAGGTGTAAGCTTGGGTGTGTAAGGGGACAAGGGGAGTAAGCTTGGGGGTGCAAGGGGAGTAAGCTTGGGGTGCAAGGGGGAGTAAGCTTGGGTGTGCAGAGGGTGTAATGGATAACATCTTGGGATTCCAAATCAGAGTCAAGTTCCAAATTCCAGTCAGGTTCATTATATTTATGTGCAAATAACCTTAGAAAACACATGAATCCACCTCTTCTCCCCATCTATAGGTTAATTAGTAAGACTTGTATCAGTAAATCATTATCTACAAAAAATTCTTACAATCTAAGAATATCTTCTGGCTTTAAATAACCTTCAAAGCCATAAAAATCAAATAAATTGGAGTGTAGTATCTGCTTGATCACTGGCCCTTTTGATCTATATTATTATTCTGTATTTACCTTTGGACTATTGTCCTCATTTTTGTTGTTGTTATCAAAACGTTTCAGCTGTTGTGCAATCTGGCCTTCATCAGGTGTATATCAATCTGGATAACCTACAAGGAACACTTTATTTAATCTACAGGGTTAGATGGTTCTCGTTCTACTGCTCATGTCTAGGGATATCTCATTTAGTTATTACTTTTAGTACTGCTCAGTTATTGCTCCCCTGTTTCCACTGAGTTCAAGTATACACTGCCTGACCCAGGGATTGAACTCACAATAACTATGTCATCAAATTTACAAGCCAATGCTTTAATTCACTATGACAATTATACACTTGATGAAATCCGAAAGGTACAATGGCGTAAATTAATTGTTTAAAATTTGACAAAAGTTTTCAAAGGAAATTCAGATTATTGAGGTTTATGTGATTTGGATAATAACTTCAGACTATATTTACGGTACATTTGGTAATTCACAGTATCTCTACAAATCTTTTTGTATTTCACTTAAATTTTTACCTTTGCATAAAATAGTTAAAAATGTTGCTTTTTTTTTTTTTTTCTCCATCTCAAATATCAGAATCACTAAATGAAAATAAACTAATTTTGGCAATTCTTTTTCAAATGCTAAGAGTTATCCTAAGACAAATGCTATTAGTTAAAAATTAATAGCTTTAATGTGATTTAATTATGTAAACTAATAAACATAGAGACTGACTAATACTACTACTAATAAATCTCTCTCTTCAAATAAGTATGAACAGATAGTATGTTGTACTCAGAGTTGTGGATAAACTGTCCAAAGATCATGCTTTGTTCCATAGATGGATATGAATAGACTAAAATAGATATGAACTGAGATAAGCAGATAGATACGAATAGAATAAAATAGATGGATATGAACAGAGATAGATATGAATAAATGTTGCAACCTAGGGAAGGTTACTGAAGAGAATAATCAAATGAAGGTTGGTAATGAATGATAATACTTAGGACAAGAACAACACACAAGATTCACCAGCAACATGTAGAAGTAGTAGTCAATTGCAAGAAGTGAGTCAAGTGAATTCCAAAATGAATCTCCAACTGCAAGATATCTACCAACTGCCCCACACAGTCAGATGTAGCACAAGACTGAATTTAATGGTATCTGCGACCATGGACTCTGCCAAAAATTCCCCATAGACCCCCCCCCCATATAAAATGGGGACATGTAGCTTTTTCCCAAGATGAGAATATAGTCTTATCTGGGATCCTCTCTGCCTGGAGGCAGAGAGTTTGACCAGCACAGCTGGAGATGAATCTCCAACTGCAGACCAACATACAGTATTTACTACCGTGTTTATATGAATGGGGACATGTCCATTATCATCCATAGGTATGCTACAACACTAAAATAGATATGAACAGAGATAGATAGATATGTACCAACTGAAATAGATAGATAGATATGTACCAACTGAAATAGATAGATAGATATGTACCAACTGAAATAGATAGATAGATAGATATGTACCAACTGAGATAGATAGATAGATATGTACCAACTGAGATAGATAGGAGTAGGCTGATAGATAAGTAAAAGTATGCTAAGACAGATAAATAAGATTAGGCCATTATCAGTAGATAGGTGTAGGCCATTATCAATAAATAGTAGTAGGCTCAGTTAGATATGAGCCTGCTGAAATAAATAAATGCATTTGAATAGAGGCTGATACAAGATATGTGTAGAAAGAGATTCTCAGGACTTTTTTATAGCCTAAACATTATTCTTTATTTTCATTTTTCTTTCTTTTCCTTTTTCTACCAAACAAAGAAAATCTGTTTCCTTTGAGAAAATAAACCAATCCATAAATTCTGTTTCCATTTATAAAATCCCAAATTTACAACTTTGCCTTGCAATGAAGAGTTTTCCGAAAACTCCAATGTTTGCTAATTTAAGATGGCTGACATTAAGGCTCTCTTTTTTTATGTTTATTGACGAATGAATATTCTTTGAAGCAAGTCATGGTTATAAAAAAAATTCAGCTCACTGGTGTTGTCAAATAAAGAAAATAATCTCAAGAAAAGTATGAGATTCACTTTGCACTTAATTGCCTTGAAATGCAAGATGTAAACAAGTTATTTTTGCTAGTTTCTAAAATTATTTTAAGATGTGTTTTATTTTTGGTCATGTCTTTTGTATATTTAAATTAGGGTAAATATGAACACATTTGTATAAAAATATGAATCTATAACAATCCACTTTCTCTATATGGGTTTTGGTACCATAACATAATTAGTTTAGAATTTCTTCCTGGTCTTTTGAGTAAAAGTAGAGGTTTATCCCTTGTTTCCTGTTTAGGATTGGCTTTCCGGTTCCTTCTAAAGTCTACTTCAACTCTATACTTCTAACGTCTCTGCCTAAACTCTGAAATGTTATTTATTTTCTTCCTTCAGTAGGAGTAGATAGGTTTTTTGAATAGGAGTAGAGGTTTATCCCTTGTTTCCTGTTTAGGATTGGGTTTCCGGTTCCTTCTAAAGTCTACTTCAATTCTATACTTCTAACATCTCTGCCTAAACTCTGAAATGTTATTTATTTTCTTCCTTCAGTAGGAGTAAATGTTATTTTTTGAATAGGAGTAGAGGTTTATCTAAGCATCTTAGTGGCATTTTCAACTAGCTTTGGGTGAATTGATTTAAAAAAAATGCATGTTGTATTACTCTGGTTGGCAAAAAGGGATATTTTATACCAGATATCAGCATAGATACTCAGTATCTATGCTGATGATACATTTATACCTGTCTTAATAGTAATTCTGATACGGTCAAATTGGCTGCTTTTCTCAAAAATGACCTACAATCTGTTGTTAATTGGGGCAAGGAGTGGCTTGTTAATTTTAAAACCTCCAAAATGAAACTTCTCCTTTTTTTAATTGTATGAGAAAATATTGTAATGTATGACAAGAGTTTGTTGAGATTGGGGGGAAACACCTAACTGATTACTCTCCCAGCAACTACAGGGATAATAGACAGAGATGAGAAAGAGATGGGTGGCAACAAAAATAACCCTGCCTCAGGAACCACAGTAACTTGAGGATCAAAATGACCGTAAGATTGATTTCACAGGACAGCATGTCTTGCCAATTGCTGACTGCTAGTTTTACCCCAGATTTATTGACATGAGTTCTCTTACAAAGACCTGGATCTTAACCAGTTGCAGAGAGGCCCGTATCTAGACATACCAAGCTGTCTCCCACTGCTAATGGGGAAAACCCGGATGTAACTGGTGTTGGCAAACATGTCCACATGTGATTCAAGGCCTCTTTTGTATCTGTACTGACACATGTTCACCACAAGAACCCTTTTTGCTTTCCATGGATGATGTTGACCTTCAGGAGAGTGACATTCTGTCTTTTCAGGCTAATGTTTTCCACCGACATGAAGTGGAAAGAATCAATTACTAGGTTTTCTGTGTCATGCTAGATTATTTCTCTCACCACAATCAATCTTACATATTTATAAGTTTACCATTTGTCCTTCCTTTCAATGTTGTTGCCACATCTAGCTTGGTGCTACTACTGTATGTTTAGAGATTCTTGATAAAATTGAAAGAATCTGCAATGTTATTAGTCCTGATCTGGCATCCCAGCTTCAGTTACTTTCTCACTGTTGTAAAGTAGCTTTTCTATGCCTTTTTTTTATAAATATTTTCATGGTAATTGTTCTGATAAGCTTTCCTCTTTGTTATCTCGACTTTATGAATTTAAGTGCAGTACTAGAGTGGCACCTAGGTCTCGTTTTACAGTTGAGATTGCAAGTGATAACCATATGTTCTATGCTAATGGTTTCTTCTATTGCACTTCTCACATAGGGAACTCATGACGTCTTGCTTCCAGTGAATATTGATCTTTAAAAAATTTTTAAATAAAAATTAGGCATTTAGTATTTCATTTTTAGATGTGTAATTGTCAATATAGTTGTGTTATTTCAAACTATTGTTCTCACCTTGGTGTTATAGATGTTATTATAGACACAACATTTCAGCCAAATTTCCACTAGATATCAGGTTTCCATTGTCCAAGTAAAATTGGTTTTAATGGATAAGATTTTCCAAATATACCTGTATGATTGGGCACATGGCTGAGTGGTTAGAGCATTCACTTTCTGACCATAAGACTGGGGTTCAAATCTTATGGTTGATTCATCAGAAAGTTGACCGTAAGGTTATCAATCTGGAGAAGGCAATCCCAGCATGTGGAACGTTTGGAAAGTACCTGAAAACCATACCACTGCCTTATGAGTGAAATTGGGTTGATGGAACTCTTTGGGAAGCTGTTGATGGTTGTGCTAGCACAAAATTACAAGTCATCGGGACTGAGGGTTTTAGTGTGCTGGTTTTGTTTAGACTGTTGATCATACTAGATAATGTATGCTCTCTCAGAAACTTTAACTAAGGTCCACTCAGCATTATTCCAGTATAAACCACACGTGTGCTCTGTGGGTGTTGAGCAAATACAAATATACCTGAGCAGGCGTCTGCAACTGGGATTAGCTAGCTACCCTAATAGACTCGCATCCTTGGATTTGAGTGGTCTCACCATTTGCATTTATCTGAATGGGAAATAAAATAGCAACATCTCAAATGCATTGATCTTCAAAAATTTAAAGCAATATCAATCATTGTCTTCTGTTTTCTTAATTCCTGTTCTTTCATTATTCCCTCTCCCTCTCTCTCTTGCTCATATTCTTTCACGTTCAGTAAACCCCTTGCACCTTAGTGGCTTTATTACCTTTGCTTATTACCATGATTAAAAAATACTTGAGTCTTAATGTAAGCATTTATTAGGTTTATACCTGAGTCTATCAATAAACATTCAGGTTTATATTTAAGCATATTTAAGAATCTGCAATGTAATTGGTCCTACCCTGGCATCTCGACTTCAGTCACTTTCACACCACCTTAATGTGGTCTGGTATGATTCTTCTTTAATTCAGCACATGTAATCGGTTCTCATCAAACTGAACAGATCAGCCAGAATGTGGAGTCTGTGAGTTTGAACTTCCTCTTCCTGAAGTGGGAAAACCATTTCTATGCCCTTCTGTCAGTAAGGAAGTCATCTCCGTACACAGCACAAATGTCTTGAACTGCTTTGGCAGCTTTGCGATCTTAAAAGTAAAGAGAAAAAGATGTTTAAAAGTACTACTATATTGGCAGCAAGGTTGCATCACTTTGGCCAAGTACCCTTTGGCCATCATCAGGTTTCCATTGTCCAAGTAAAATTGGTATAAATTGATAAGATTTTCAGAAAATATCTCTATGAGAAATAAAATAGCTACACCTCAAATGTATTGATCTTCAAAAATTTAAAGACAATGTCAATAATTGTCTTCTTAATTCCCATTCTTTTATTATTCCTTCTCCTTAATAAGGTTTTCTTTTTCTCATTCTCTAACACTCAGTAACCCCTTGAATCTTAGTGGCTTTATTGCTCTCTCAGAAACTTTAACTAAGGTCCACTCAGCATTGTTCTAGTATAAACTACAGATGTGCTCTGTGGGTGTTGAGCAACAAATCTGCCTGAGCAGGCGTCTACAATTGAGATTAGCTAGCTACTCTAATAGACTGGCATCCTTGGATTTGAGTGGCCTCATCATTTGCATTTATCTGAATGAGAAATAAAATAGCTACACCTCAAATGTATTGATCTTCAATCATTGTCTTGTGTTTTCTTAATTCCTGTTCTTTTATTATTCCTTCTCCTTAAGGTTTTCTTTTTCTCATATTCTCTAACACTCAGTAACCCCTTGAATCTTAGTGGTTTTATTGCTTTGTTTTGGGTGGAATGATTAAAAAGAGAAAATGGGTTACAATCAAAATTTTTGCTGAACAAATCGTGTCTAAAGTGCATGACTAAATTACAACCAATCTGAAAATAGTTTAGTTTTTTATAAGAAAAATATTTATATTAAATAAGACAATATATACTAACACTCCTTATTACCATGAAAATTAACCCACTTATCCTGAATATAGTTAAATTATTGACCAAAAGTGCTTGAAACAATGAACACTATGGACGATGTTTCCACCAGTCAGTACCTGAACAAGAAAAATTGTAAAGACACAAGAAAAATTTAACAAAAAACTTACAAAATATTCCATGTCCGTCATATTTCATGAATGACGTATATATGTATATGAAATAAAGATCAATATTTTGTTTATAAGAGACAAATGTCACCTGCTAATTGTCTACACTCATCAACTGGAACAATTATATAATTGCATAAACTTTTACACATTCAGTAATACATAAACATATACAGATATACAATTAACCAAGTTGGTAATTAAGCTATAAACAAAAAAAAACCTAGATAGAATAAAAACATTGCAGTCAAAATAAAGTCAATTTATAGCTAGTCAAAATGACAAGGATTGGTTTTTAAGTAAGTTCTCCAAACTTATGAAAGAATTATTAGATCAAATAGAATAATGAAATCGCTATCAAAATGTTTATCAAAAGTTTTATTCTTATTCAAAATGACAAAGATTGGTTGTTAAGCCGTCTCCAATTTTATTGAAACAATTATTAGACCAGATAAGATAATGAAATTGCTATTAAAATGAAGTCAATTTATTGTTATCCGAAATGACAAGTTTTGGTTGTTAAGTAAGGTCTTCAATCTTATGAAACAATTATTAGACTAGATAGAATAATGAAATTGCTATCAAATTGAAGTCAATTTCTCTTCAAAATTAAGAAGGTTACTTGATAACTATATTTTTCCTTCCAATAAAGCAATTTTAGATCGAATTGTATTGTGACGGTTACACACCTGGCCCAGTGTCGAATCCTTTGGTTACGGCGCCAACGGTGACGCTCGCTCCTCCTGGTCGCTCCTCCTGGGTCCAAGCGTGCCGCTCCAACCCTTTGGTCAGATGATCACCAGCCTCGCCTTTCCCGACTAGGCTTCCAATACCTGGTCACTAAAGCAACTATACCGATCTCGGTCTGTCTACCCACGCTGTGTTTAGATCTTAGACAGACGGGACCAGCAGGGATCGGGGCCGATACAAGTTGAGTCCGACGGGGTGGCAAAACACAAATAAAATAAAACTCACGACACCAAACAAAATTGTTGATAAAAGGGTAACAACCTTTTATATCTTAAAGTCCGTTACATAAAACAAAATTGTTCTCAATTCCCGACCGCTCTGTGGACTATGGCACCAAGCTTCTATCACACAATAGGAAAATGTCGAATTACCTACTTTCTAGAATCATGTATGTATGTCAGAGTGTGGTTCAGTTCGACACTGGGGCTAATTTCTATCGATCATTCGCAGTTGATTCTTCTCTTCGACTTGAGTTGTATTTCTTCTTCTTCTTCTACTTGGGCTGGAAGTTCTTCTTGTCTGAGGGTTCTTTTCTCGCTGCCGTCCGGGGATGAACTCTAACTGCAACTCCACTCCAACTGCAACTCCAACTTCAACTGATTTCTGTCGACTGGGGTCCTGCTTATATTGACGCCGCAACAAACTGGGGTGGGTCTGTCGGCGTCAGGGTTTTCTCGATAATTCCAAAAACTGCATTAATTCTGTCTTCTCCATTATCGCTATTGTTTTCGCCCCTACTTCCTCATAGTACTTTTGGTGGGCGGCGACATCCATCTCTCTTAGTCTCGTATGTCAGGTGACCGCTTTCGACTAATGAGATTCTGATCGAGCATTTCTTTTTCTTTCTTTTCCGCAGCCACGTGACCGTATTCGACCAATTGTTATTGATCAAACATTTCTTTCCCTTTTCTTCCGCAGGTCACGTGATCGTATTCGACCAATTGTTATTGATCGAACATCCTCTCCCCTCTGTTTGCGGGCGTGGTTACATCGTTCTTGTTTAAAAAAAAAAAATCCAATTTTTCCTTTTTGCACGCATTTTAAAATGACAATCTTTGGCTTTTCTCACCTGGACTTTGTCAAACAGCCCGCTGCTAATTAGTCTTGACTTTAGAAAGGATCTTTTTCCGCCTTCTTGGCGCCCTCTGTGAGCCAAAAGCAATTGTCCTCTTTTTACCTCTTTGTTTTTCCTGATAGTCGAAAATCTTAATTATCTACATTGAAATGTCTCTACTTTATTAACGTGGGTGTCCAATTCTTAACAGGTCTGTATATCGTTCCACGGTCACTCCCCTCAACCCAAAGACATTTTTTTCTCTGATTAAAAATTGTTTCATTGTTCCCAAAATTTCTCTTTATCCAAATTGATAAGGTGTCTTTCCATGCAAAAGTAGGCTAGGTGCTCTGACCGACATTCTTACCAAAATGACTTTCGAAAATCGCCAAGACGCTGACCTAAATCTCTTTCTGACTCCTATCTCCACCCTCAATTGGGTCATCGTCATACATTTCTCTTTCTTTCTTTTCTTCCTTCCTTCCTTTTCCTTTCTTTCCTTCTTCTTTCCTTAGGATCGTCTAGTACACTCTTAGTGAATTATTTTCAACTCAGTTATTTTCCGTTTAAAAAAAAAAAAATTAACAACCTGTTTAGTAACCGAGTAAGAAAAAATTAAATCATATTTCTATGAATATTTCTAATAATGCAAGGTGCCACAGTATGTTTCAAACAGTTTTGAAAATCTGGTGTGAAGAGTTATTGTTTAAAATTAGACTAATGTCCTCATGTTATAATGACATTTCAACCATTGTGTCCACTGGCTTTTGTCTGGTGTCTGGCAGTATTGGAGTAAACTTCAAAGAATTTTAAGATGAACTCTTTGTGCAATCAACTGAATAAAGTGTTTTATTCAAAATTACCTGAAGATTTACTTTAGGGGTCGAAACACAGTAATCATAACAAAGATGAGGATATTAGTTTAACTGTAAATAATCTAAATAGTGTGTTTATTAATTATTGGATATATTTAATAGAATAGTACCTGAAATATTTCATGTACGATTTTTGTTTTGTTTGTTTTTTGGGTTTTTTTGTTGTTTTTTTTTTAGCTGCAAATGCATATATAGATTGCAAGCAAATTAAAGTCCTTCATTAGGGAACTATATACTGGCACTACAAAATCACAAAGACCTTACTTAACCAAATAACAGAACCCACATCACTTGAAAACTTCAAACAGAACAACAAAAAATGATAGCACATGTAACTAGAAGGGGATATAATATGTCTCCACCCCTGAATTCTGCATTGTTTTTCACTTATTATCCTTCCACAATAGGAATAGGTTCACTTATCTGGTTCATAGACCTCACTGATTTTTCTTTTCTTTTTTTTGGAACAGGAGTAGAGGTTTATCCCTTGTTTTCTGTTTAGGATTGAGTTTCAAGTTTTTTCTAAAGTTTATTTCAACTCTATATTTCCAATGTCTCCACCTTAAAGTTATCTATCCTCCTTATCCTCATAATCTTCACTTCCTACCACCTCTTCTTTCATTCCTATCACACACCTCATTCATCTTAACCTCTTCAAGTCAAGGGTCAATCATTATCTATCCTACTTAGCCTCATAATCTTCACTTCCTACCATACCTCATTCATTATAACCATTTTAACAGTGATCCTCTATGTGTGTCTGTCAATGTGCTTATTCTAATGTGTGTATATGGATGCTTATGCACATATTAAACTGTATTTGTAAAGGTGTATGTGTGTGGTTGAAAATATATGTAGGTGTTTGTGTGTCTGAAAGTGTGTATGTGAATATGTATGTGCTTATTAGTAAATATGTGTGTCTCTGTGCATGAACCATTCATAAAATCCTTTGTCAAAAGATTTTACTTTTTCTGGATCTGCTAAGGTAATTAAGACGTTTTTATTCGCATTTTATCTTTCCTGAATCTTATTTCAGTGCGGCAGATTTCAGCATTAAATAACCCATAGAGGTGTTGATGTGCCGTTAAACAAAATCAACAAATACCAAACCAATGCATTGTTTTACCAATTTTCTTTGTGCAATCACAGCAAGTTTTTTGAAAAATTTTGCCAACAAAGTATTAAAAAATTTTCCATATTTATTATTCTTGAGACTGTTTTTATATATATATATATATATATATATATATATATATATAATTTTATCTTTGTTTTTCTTTTTGGATGAAGAATGTAAATGTCTAATAACATTTATGGTAATGGTAATCAGTGCCAGACAATCTTCGCAATGCAAGTCAACAAGGACTTTGAGTTCCTTAAAGGGCACCAAAACAAAATTGTCTTAAAAAAGCATCAAGAATGTGAAGGAGGGGAGGGAGAAAGACAGGAAATTCTTGCCATTTACCACAAAATAAAGATCAATAAAAAGCAATTAGTAGAATCGGCAATTATTCTGGGCAAGAATCTTCTTAGAGGGATGTAAGTGATGATAGTATTTAGTCGTTTCTATGACATTCATGGGATGAAGAAAGAATAAAATGAGAGAGTGGGGTGGAAGGCATAAAGGAGAAAGTAGAAAATGGGTATAAAGAGAAAGGAAAAAGAACAAGAAAAAAGGGAAAAAATGTGCAAGAAAGGGAGATATGCATTGGAGGTAAAAAGAATAAAATGAGAGAGAGAGAGAGAGGGCGGAAGGCATAAAGGAGAAATGTGAAAGAAAGGGAGGCATACATGGGAAGGAGAAAGTAGATAATGGGAGTGAGAGAGGAAGAGAAAGAAAAAACTAGAAAGAAGGGGAAAATGTGTAAGAAAAGGAGACATGCATGAGAGGGAGAAAGAAAGAAATAGAAAGAGAAAATGTGAGAGAAATGGTGGTGTGGTGAAAGGAGAGAAAAATATAAAGACAATGAGGGTCAAAAAAGGAGAGTGGAGATAGAATGAAAGAAAGTGTGGTGTAGTGAAGAAAAAAGTGGGTAAGAAGGAAAGGGAGAATATTTGAGAAAAGATGAGAATGATATAAAGACAATAAGGTGTGAGAAAAAGATATATATAAAGAAAGGAAAGAAAAAATAAAGACAATGAGCAGAAAAGGGAGAGAAGGACTATATAGAAAGAGTGAAAGAATAGAAAATGGTGAAAAAATGTAGACATGGCAGAAGAGAGAGGGAAAGATGAGATAAAGGTAGGAGCAGAGAGAGTAAGTAGAAAAGGAGAGTAAGTTTGGAGCAGAGAAAGAGACAGTAAGCAGAAAGGGAGAGTAAGTATGGAGCAGAGAAATCATGTGAGCAGAAAGGGAGAGTAAGTTTGTAGCAGAGAAAGAGAGAGTAAGAGAAAAAGGAAAGAAATGTAAAGATGGGGAGTCAGTGTGAGGAAAAGGGAAAGATAGAAGCAGAGAAAAAAGTGTTTGAGAGGGTAAAAGAAAGGTAAAGAGAGAAGGAAATATAGACAGATTGAAAAAAATGAGAGAAAAGTAGAAGAGTATTTACTTTAGGGAAAGAGGAAAAAGTTTTTGTGTGACATATTTTGTCCTTTAGGGTTTCAACAGACTAAAGTGGTGTTTATATTAATGAAATTACATATGTGCATGAAGGAGAGGGGATGCTGAAAATTTTTTTTTTTTTTTAACTGAAAGAGAAAAATGAAAGGGGAGTAGGATTGATATTAGATGAGGGCATGAAGAAATGTTCTGGGATACTGTCAAATATCTGAAAGAATTCTTGTCATTAAAAAGCCTTTCAACATACCCATCATTGTTGTTTATGCACCAAAAGCACAAAGTACAGAAGAAGAAATTGAAAAGTTTTAGTCTACACTAGACAATGCTAAAGCTCAATATTAAATCACAAATTACAGTTGTTATGGAAGGCCGGAATGCCAAAGGAGGGAGGGAGAGAGATGGTGAAATAGTTGGCAAATTCAGAATAGGAACTCATAATAAACACAGAGAAAAATGATCAGGCAGTGGCCAACAGTTTCTCATTCTAAGTCACTTACCTCTACATTACCCGCACATAAAATACGAGTGATAAAAGAATGAGATTAAGTGGTCAAACAAGCAGACATGTTTCAGAGCCTTTCACATCAGCCACAACAGATGATACATTTTGATATCAAGGCAAAGAGGTTTGAATTTGGGAATGCAAAAAAAAAAAATTATTTCTACAATCCAAAATATGTTTTGATTTTAAATGACCCATAAACAGGTTGATAAGACATAAAATATTAATCAAATCAATCTCTCTGTCTCACACACACACACACACACACACACACACACACACACACACACACATGCACACAACTCACATATTTTGCTTTGAAACATACCATCTTGTTCCACATTTTCAATTGAAACCAAAACTTGTTACGCTCCTTCATCACCAAGCAGACTCTGAGTTATCACCAATCACAATGAAAAAAAATATGGGCTAGAGCTGCACAGTCTTCATTTTTCAATCTTGAGAGAGTCCAAAAGCATCTGTGTTTTCTTTTTGGGTGATGAATTAAGACCTTTAACAAATAAAATGTCACATGTCTCTCATTACTTTGTTTCTATTTCCAAGCCTTTTCTTCCCATGAACTGCTGCTTTGTGGAACTGACTCCCAAGAGGATGCTTCCCTAATCACTACAATCTTAATTTGTTGAAGTCTAGGGTTAACCCCTAACTTCCACACATATCCGTATAAAATGTGCCTCTTACTATGTCACCCTTTACCTCGAATAGCTGTACAAGGTGAGTATAATTGTAAAAAAAAAAGAATTATTTCTACAATCCAAAATATGTTTCAGTTTTAAATGACCCATAAACAGGTTGATAAGCCATAAAATATTAATCAAATCAATCTCTGTCTCTCTCTCACACACACACACACACACACACACACGCATATACACACAAGCACACAACTCACATATTTTGCTTTGAAACATATCATTTTGTTCCACATTTTCATTTGAAACCCAAACTTGTTACACTCCCTCATTGCCAATCAGACCATGAGTTATCACCAGTCACAATGAAAAAATGTTCTCTCAGTGTGGCGTCATGTGTCGAGCATCTATTGGGACTTAAACTCAATCCAGACATCAAGTGGTGTCCTTACATATGATCCATCACTAAAGATTCTGGAAAAACTTCTCAGTACCACTCCAGTAAGTACCTGATTCCTCCTGCTATCCTCTACCATTAAAAGAGCCAGATAAGGCGGAGTTCTGCTGCCATATATAGGCTGGAGCTGCACAGTTTTCACTTTCTAGTTTCAATAGTGTCCAAAAGCATCTCCGTGTCCTTGTGGATGATGAATTATTTTCTTTTCTATAATCCCTATCTCACAAATGAAACATTGTAAATGCCATTCACTCTTGCTCTTACCATGGAAAGTGCTCAGATGAGCTATATTCCTTAGTGCCACCAGTTTTAATCTTCACAGCTAACACCCAACATGCCACATTGTAGTGAATCACCTTCATTCCCTTCGTATTCCATTGATGAGAAGTAAGTTCCACTCAAGCAGCTTCATCTTGCAAACCACTGCTCTGTGGGAACCGATTCCCAAGATGATGTTTTCTCAATCACTACAATCTTAACCTGTTCAAGTTCAGGGTTAACTGTTATCTTCCCCACATATCCATATAAACTGTGCCTTTTACTCTGTAATCCTCTATCTTGAGTGGCTCCTAGGCCTTGTACAGAGTGACCCTCACTATAAAAAAAATCTTGAGAACCAATCCATTAGCCAATTATTTTTTATTCTAAATCTATCCAAAGATTTAATTTTCTACCATTTCTTACCAAGATTGATCACAGATTATTCTGGTAAGTAATTAGACGTATACTCTTTGGACAAATTGCCTTCTTCCCTCCTGAAGGTCAGTGCCAAGATAAAAGCAATAAACTCAGTAGACAAGGTTTCCTTAAAGTTATAACATAATTGTGTAGTTCTTGGTGACAAACCCATAATTGCATTCTGTCAGATGTGTTGTATATAAAAGCTGGTATTTTATAACTTTACTATTTACTAGCAAAGTCTTCATTCTTTACACAGGACTATATTATATTCTCAAAAACAAAATAAAAGAAAATTACACACAAAATTTTCAATTAGAAAGTGATAGGACCCTTAAAAATGCCCTTATCAAGATTAGTAACAGTCACATTTTAGCAAGTATTCTGGTTATATTACAAGGTATGCCCCCAAAATTGACATTTTGTAACCAATTCTCACTCAGATGATCTCAGTTTTTAAACATTTTGTTAAAAGTTAAGTTTACTGTGTGGACTTATCTCAATGTGAATCTTCCAGGAAGATAGATCAGGCATGCCAGTGATAATGACAATGTGCTGTTGAAATTGCCACCATGTCACCTGATTCACCTAGTGATATTTTTTCCTATGGGGCTATGTGAAAGGACAGGTCTATATCCCCCCCCTCTTCCTATAAGCTTAGACAAACTTAAGCAGAGAATCACAGATGCACTGGAGAATGTTATGCAAAACATGCTACAACGTGTTTAGCAGGAGCTGGACTACCGACTTGACGTGGTGTGTCACAGGTGGTGCACATATTGAACATTTGGGAAATTGATTATAAAATCTACGCCAATTTGAATATCTTGAATTTTGATAAATAAATATTTTATTGTTCAATATGAAGCCTATTTAATTTTGTTTGCCTGGAACATGTAGTTACAGATATTCACATTTTAAATGATGTGGAATTTTTTTTTTTTTTTTTTTTTTATGATATCCTGTATGTGTACACCTTGTTGAAACACAGGCTAAAGTAATTTAAGATGATAGAACTTAATCTAGATATTTACACCGGATTAAAAAAATAAAATCCATTAATTCATTAGAAAACATACTACAACCCCTTCCCCAAAGACGGAAAGTTGTTAGCCACTTACATCTCTATCAGGCTTTTTTCATGGCAGATTTTTGAGCAAACATTTCTTAGTTCTACCCATCCAGATCTTCACAGCTAGGGCTCTTTAGATTATGTACACTGAATTAAACCCTTTCTCATTCACTTCATATTCCATTAGTGAGGAGGAAGTTTCGTTCTAACAGCCTCTTCTCCAGAACTTTCATTATGAAATGGATACCCAAGAGGTTCCTTCTATGTTCACTACAATCTTAACATCTTCAAATCTCAGGTCAGCCATTATATATCCTACATATCATCATAATACAACAACCTCATTTAGTAACTCTCAATAGTGAGTGGCTCTTAGGTTTTTTTTTATTGAGGAGTGGAAGGGATGGAAAGAAGGCAAACATTGCTACAAGCTATGAAAAATAGGATGTTGTGGAGATTTGTGTCCAAACATGACACCATACATAGAAGAATATCACTATTTGAATGATTTTCACATTATTCAAAACAGAAGAAACTTAAAAGTTTATCTAATAGCTTCTTTCTCTGTGTTGATTGTAGAGGCAGACTAAAGGACAGAGGCTTGGAATGTGAAAGCAGAGGACCATGTTCAGGCTGATTTGTTATATTCATGAGATATATTACATATATGATATAATATAAATATATTACACATATATATAATTTAATATATATTATATAATATGTATAATATATGTATATTATATGTATAATATATAATGTACAATATAAATATATAATGTACTAGCAGTAGAGCCCGGCGTTGCTCAGGGATGTAACAGTAAGAGATAGATCAAGTATCGACCATCATAAAGACTGAAAAATAAAATTGACAAAGATTATTGTTTAAGGTTGACGGACACACATGTCTTAATTAGATTTTTTTACGAATTGGTCAAACCCAAACTCAAACAAAAACATTGTTTTCAATCGTTATGAGTCTATCGATTGAATAGAATTTTATTATAAACAATTGTCTTGTAAATGGAATTTTTAAAGCATTCTGAATGTAAAAATAAAGAAAAAAGTGTGCAAGACAATAAGAAACACTACCTGCCAAAATAAAAGTGAAGTTTTGTTGAAATCGGTTGAAAAATGTAGGAAATCTGATCCCATATATAAACGAGCACACACACACACACACAAACAACCTGGGTTTTATAATAAGTATAACTCGATATGAGTTGTCCCCCTTTCATTCTCGCGATGCCTCTTAATCGTGTTTTCAAATTGATTTTGTGCAAAAACAATTGTGTTTTTTCCAATTTTTTGCGCTGTCAGAACCACCGCAAAGTAATTTTACGTAGTCCTGTGAAGTTTTGTTGAAATTGGTTAAAAAATGTAGGAAATCCGATCTAATATATAAACGTACAGACACACACA